ATAACTGCAGAACTTTAAACTGCACTCCTTCTAGGAGCAAGGATCACAGGAGTTAAAACTGGCTTTCCCCTGCACTCTGAGCCAAAACCCCGAGGGTTCAGCAGAGAAGAGTTAGGACACAATCAGGAGACAAACACCAAACTCTCTCAATCCACCGGCCTCCGGGGATGGAACAATCAACAACGGACTAAACAGCAACTAACTAAAAAACAGAGAAAAAATGGATAACTAACGATCTTGCCCCAATAGCTGGGCTGAACCGTATATAAATCAGTGGGAGCAGGTGAATAAGATTAATGATAATTATGATTAGATCAGCTACCAGGTCTGCAATCATGACACCTTTGGACTATTGGACTACTGTGAGATCAATAAAGTCAATCAATCAGTGAATAGAAAGCGTATTATTTTCAGGTGCATGATGATAGATGTAGTATGAGTCACAGCAGAAGCTTCCTGCCCATCTTCCTTTTCACAGATCTACTGATAAATCATCTCTCCACGCCTTTAGACTCTAGTTGAAGCTTTGAGGAAGTTGAGATAATATTGGGTTGTAAAGTCTGATAATAAGCCTTATTCTAACAGCAGTAATAAAAAAAAATAATAATTTTGCTGTCAAGATAAAAAACAATTTTTTTTGTTTATTAATTTGCTCAATCCAGATGTCCTTAAAAGGCAGTTTAGCTTCACTTGACTTGATTTCTTTGTTAAATCTTTTAAAAGGAGCTTTTTGCCAATGGATTATTAATTGAAAAGATAATTAACAGATTAACTGACTAGCAAAACCGTCGAAGAAGTTACATTTTTATCTATTTAGGGATGTCATACATTGGGAAAAGAAAACCTAGGAAAAAAAAACATTTTGATTCTACTTTATGATCATGATCAATTTTCTGTTGGTTTATCACATTAAAAACTAAGATAATTTAAAAGTATTTAAAATATTTTGAGATTGTAATGTGATAAAGTGTGAAAATATTCAAGATATATCTTCTCTTAAGCCGCTGGAAATTTAGGCCTCATCGAGAATGATGTTAAAGTGCTCCAACTAAAACATCAAATATGTTGAAAAAAAGCTATAAACTATCCCACCAATAAGTAACGTTCTTTAGTATTTATAGATCATCGCTCATAATCTTTGACAATCTCGTGTTTTTACTTGCATTCAGCATGGCCATTATTCACACCGATACAACACACAGGAAGTAAAGTTGGTGCCAGTTCCTCACTGAAACATCAGGTTTTAGAACATTAGTCATGGTTAGATCTCCTCAGCTTGTGCAATCAGTTAACGGATGTCACCGACGCTCCTGCTGAGTGCCGCCAAGCCTCAGCGAGCAATGCTGATGTCATCAGATTTCTAATGGAAAATAGAAACCAGGAGCCGAGGTCAAAAAAACATACTCATTTTCCAGCCAGGCAGGTTCTGATGAATAGATTGAACCGTGCCAAAAAGTAAAAGCAAAAAAACATTTCTGCCTCTGTTCCTTTCGATTTTCTTTCAAAATCGCAGGCAACTTTATAGAGTAGCAATGACATGGTGAATTAAATCGAAATTAGCCTATGGTAGAGCTTCAGCAGACGTGGGCATAGAGGAGTATTATGCATAGCTGCTCCTAAGTGACCCATTAGCTGGAATTGATTGGTTGATTTAACTGCAGTCAATTGGATGTGGATGTGAAAGTGCGTCAAAAAAAATATGAATTTCCAGCTGAATGTGGTATTTTATTCACAGCAGCACACAATGTGGGGGAAAAGCAACAAAGAGAACTCATATAATGAATAACAACAGAGCAAAAGCAATTTCCAAACTCTTAAATACGCTCGCTGTTTAGTTGAAAAGGAAGTAATCATAAAAGATATAGTTTTAAAGGAAGCAAATAATAGGCTGATAATAATGGAATAAAGCTTTAAATAAAACTTTAGATAAAGAGAAAAAAAGATGCAGGTATTCTTGCAGAGTTTTCACACCGCTCAAACCTTTTCATGTTTTATCACATTAGAAACACAAACGCCGCTGTATTATTTTTTTTTTTTACATGATTTCATGCAACAGACCAACACATTTTACATCACAGTTGTAAAGCAAAGTTAAATAAATCTGAAAAGTGTGGCAGGCATTTTTATTTGGCTCCAAGAGCGTATAATATAAAGCAGGTGTAACCAATTAAAAATCAGCGGGGTCCAAATAAAGAAAACCAACCACTAAAGGTCTGGAGACATTTTTAATTATAATCTGTTCAAACAGAATTTAACACTGAAATAAAATTCAGGCTTTTATGCATCCAGGTTATACATTACATTTTTTTAAATAAAAAAAAAAAAAAAAACATTTTTCCATTTTAAAATCTAAAGTGTTTTTTGAAGTAGAGAACAGCAATCTTTCAGTTTGGTATATAGACAATTCCCTGATTCACATATTTTATAAAACACCTGAACTGACCGTTTGTTTGTTGCTGACCTACAAGGCTTTTAAACCTGGGTTTAGATGGTGACAAAGCCATTCTAAAGCACATATCAAGGTGGTCATTTTGAGCCTGGATCCATGTTTATTTTTATGTTCATGGTGGAGAATCCTGCTTCACAGCAGCAGGTTGAGCCAAACATACTCTAAATGTTCAGGGTCACCTTTGAGCACGTCATTTCACTTTTCTTTCACCAGTTCACCTCAGTTCTTCCAGCAGTCCACACTTCTCTTTTTCTCTTTGTATTCTCCTTCATTCCCATTGCCCGGCTTGCCAAAGGTTTGCCTGTTGTGTCTAACAGTAACTTGCAGCAGCAACCCAGACTGACAGCAGCTCATTGGCTAATTTGTATCATGTGCAGCCTGGTCCCGGTGCTCTGGACGGCTGTACCATATTAAAGCTGAAGTCTGTAAGTTTTTAAAAATCACTTTTTTGTCATATTGGCTAAAACTGTCCCTATGCCCAGACAGCAGTACATGTGATATGTAACCTGTGAAAAAAACTGCTTCAATTGGTCCCGCATACTGCCTGTATTTCAATCTGGAAAGAATAATTCGGGACGAGTCAAAACAACCAATAACAGCCAGAGGAGCGTCTGATGGAGTGTCAATCACAGCTCTCCACCCCCCCACCGCTTCATCTGCCGCAGCAGATTTCAGTCGAAGTCTGCTCTCTTCTCAATGTTACAGACTGCAGCTTTAACAGTCGAAGCGGCGCAAGTGAAGTTAGATACTGTCGTTGGACAACATGCAGTAATTTATAAATGTTTTACATCAGGTTGGGTCTGGATTAGCCAGCAGGTTGGTCACTTAAATGTGTCACTTGCTCAAGTAGTTTTCCAAGGTACATAGAAATAAAACCCTCTAATACAAAGCCCATGATTCCAGAACATCTTTAAGTTTATTTTCTCCTGATTTGAGTGGGTATATATGACAATTGGCAGATGAACTAAGATGAGAAGAAAAAAACTAAATTATCTTATTTCAAGTGCATGATATGTAATAATCTTATTTTAAGGTTCAAACATTTTTTATTAACCCTTTAAGTGCCTGGTCAACCAAATTCAGCAAAATGCAAGTTGGAGTCTAAAAAGGCTGTTACATTTTTTTTTTTTTTACAAACTGTTGTAATTTGGTCTTATGTTTGGTTTAAAATGAAATGTTCAACAAACAAAAGGAAACATGCTGAGTAGTTGTCATAAAAAGACATGAGACAAATAGATTTGCTGTAAAAACAGCAAATAAATCAGTAATTACATCTATAAGATGCTTTAAATTAGAATTTTTTTCTTATTCAATCAAAGAGTTGCATTTGTAGCTGCTCCTTGCCGCAAGTAGAGGCCATTAAAGATGGAGGTATATTATATATATTGTTTGGTTACCTGGACGTTTAGCAGGCCCCTCATAGGACAAAGCTCTATTGAGGTGGTGCTACACATCTCGTGGAGCAAAATTACAAAAATCTAGACTCTGGTTTTAATAGGCCTTTAAATTCATAAATGGTATTTTGGCCCAAAGACTAAATATTAAAAAACACAATTTCAGGAGGGCACTTTTTTTTCCAAGAGGGGAAAAAGACAGGTTCTCTAGCACCAACTAGTGTCTATCTGTGCACGTCTGTGTTACAAGCATGGGAACATGCCCCTTTTCTCAGCTCATCTGCCTTTTTCAGTGCATACAAAGCAAGTCACAAGAGCAGAGGAGGAGCATGCACTCATGCCTGTGATATATAGTCTGCCCATGTTATTAAATTATTTAAAATGCACATGGAGAGTAGTTTTCATGTGTGCGTTTTAAATAAAACTACTCATGTGAGTATTTATTACACATTCTGACTATATGTTTCCCATAACATGCTGCTGCAGCCACCGGTCTTCATGTGGGGATGGCGTGTTACGGCGGGTCTTTTCTCCAACACAACGCATCTGACTTTTCATCCGTGAAGTCCAGATTTATGCATTGCATCAATAATCAGCTCTTCTGACAAATACTTCCCCTCAGCTCCAACAGAGTTAGTATGCATCTCTTCATTGCTTCTTTAACCAAAAGTTATTTCCCAATAGGTCCATAGTTGTCTGTAATTTTTCTTTGTTTGGAATCTGGAAGCAGTTTGAAGCTTAAGAAGTTATTTTGCAACCTAACCCCTCCATAAATTTATTTACTGCAGTGTTCCTCAGGGCTCATTATGCTTTTTGTTTCACCAATGCCGTCACATTAATATATGTGCACTTTAGAGACCAACGGGATTTATGTACGAGATAAAATCACACACATGTCGAATTTTACAAATTCATTGTATTCTAAAGGTAGCTGCTGTGACTGGATCATATTGGAGGATAAAAAAAAATGGAATTTTAAAACTGCCGATCATGTTTCATACAAAGCACAACCGTCCTAATACAATCAAACTTAAGTTTCTGCCTATAATGTGACAAAAATCAGGGGTTGTGAATATTTCTAAAAGCGATTCAGACATAAATACTTTTTCATCAGCCCTCGTTATCTTTCTTTTTCACAATAAGAACAGAAGATGTGCTCTATTTTGTAAAAGGATCCTTTTATTAAGGTGCCAGACATTTGTGAAAGCAGTTTGTTTTATCCCACAAAACTCAAAGTGATAAGGAAACCCAGGACACTCCACAGTGTAACTTAGGTGTAGTAACAGAAGCGGAAGATGACCGCTGACGTAGTCCAGAGATAAAATATTCACAGCGTGGACGATGGGATGGGGAGGGGGGTACTGGGTTGTTAAGGCAACACATTTGTGGGTAAAAGAGAACCTTTTCTTTACAAGACGAGAGAGGAAAAAAAAAACAGCACCAGGGATAAATTACACGCCTCTCTTTATCTCCAGAGGGAAAACATAAAAATAATGCTTCCTGTAGCTACTGGAGAAAAACCCAAACTATAACTTCTCATTTCCTCTGCAGTGGAGATCTGCTTTATTGATCCGGAGATGCTTTTTGTTAGAAGTCCATAAGAAAATCTGCTTTGCCTCCTTTTTCTATGAACCTATTAGTTGTTGCAAAGGAAGCTGCTGGTGCTTTGAAAGAGGAGGATGGAACCAAATGTTCACACGTTAGTATATATATATAAAAAAAAAAATCTAACATCAAATGTCTTGTTTGTGGTTGTTAGCTTGTTAGTGTCGAAGCATCTTATTTTCAATAAATACCAGAACACCGCTTTAGCAACAAATGTGAATAATAAAACAAAAAACTGTACAAAAAAAATTAATGTTCAATTAAAATGAAATTTCACAGATAATTAGTCCTAAATGGTGCTGAATAAAACCACCAAGATTTCATCCAACTGAAAGCGCAGGTGTGTCCGGTCACAGTTCACGTCTTTGGCTGGCATCCAGTCCTTATCTGATGGATCTTTTTTTGCATAATATTAATTTTAATAGGGTGATAAAACACAATGCAAGAGGCTGCCTTTTAGTGACAGGCGATATCACAGGTTGCTTAACGCTGTAGGGCCAGACGGGCCGTCAAAGTTGATAGCTCCAGACAGCTGGGCCAGCTCATTGGCTGAGGAAACTAGTCCATCATTGTCCCTTACCTCTTTGTGAAGGACAGGTGCTTTGTGTTAAAATTGGTTTCAGTTTGACGTCCCTTTGGTAAACTTGAAGCAGAGTCCGGTTACTTTAGAGATGAGACACGTGGAAGCTTCCAGGGAAGTGCCTTTCTATATTAAACTACATGTAAACAGCAAACGGTTCATCTATGCGGGTCTACCTCAGAGGGAGAAATCTTTCACAGGATTTTAACTGACGTACAAACAGAGGAACCATTAAAAACAGGTCAACCATCATAGAACCTCGAGTTAACTACTTCTAAGGTGTAAACAGAGATGGTTCCCTATGCTCAGATATCACCCTCACCACATATATACACATTCATGTCCAAAAACAATACAGCTTACAAAGAGCATAAGCTTCCCAACTTGCTCTTCATGTCCCTTTAGTCCTCTTCACTGTGCAAGAGCGGGTATTTAAGTGGCCTCGACCTTTTCTTAATCAGTGTCACACGGAGACAAAGACGTCCAGGTAGAGACGGTCGTAGGACTCCCTGAAGAAGAGGACGGTGACGAGGCTGAAGAGGCACGAGCCGGTTACGCACCAGTTCAGCCACGACAAATCTGCACGAGACAAAAACAGAGGAAGAGCAGATAGAAGCTTAGATACTAGGCATTTGGTCCAAGTTTATTTAAATGTGTAAACATAAAATAAATAAATAAAAAAAAAATATATACATATATACATATATATATATATATATATATATATATATATATATATATATATATATATATATATATATATTAGTTGCCCTAAAAACAGCCCGACTTCCTTAAGTCTTTTGGACTTTTTGGTTAAAGCTTCCAGACATGTAACACCATCTGTTGCCTTTTAGGTTTTTTTCTGAAAAGCTGTTTTCCTTTCCTTTTTTTTCTTCTTTTTACTCATTTCTAAATAAATACATTTTTATGTAATTGTATATGCAAATCCCTTTATTGTCCCACAATGGGGAAATTCACTCTACTCATTTGATCTATCCCCTTGGGGAGCAGTTAAGGGTTTTGCTCAGGAACCCAGAGTGGAGGCTGTGGGGATTGAACTGAAAACCTGCAACCTTCTGAGAGTACAAGCACACTGCTCTAACCACTAGGCCAACACTCCCCCAATGTGAAAGACATTCATCTTTTCATTTAGCTGCTATTAAAAAAAATATTAATTTTAAAAGGTACATACAGGTCACTTCAAGTTTAGTATTTCTTCATTTGTTTCACAGAGTGAGACTCGTATAATATAAATATTTAATTGAAAAGAGAACAAAATATTTTATTTCTTGTAATTTGCCAAGCCTAGATAATGAAAACCCAAAATTAAGCATCTCAGAAAACATGAATATTAAATAAGATCAATAAAAAAGAGATTCATAGAACATCTGCTTGCGATATTTAATAAAATCCATTTATGCCTCCATAATGCTAAAAAGGTTCGGCCATACAAGCTAAGAAACCTTTAACACGACCTACGTTTATCAATCAGACATATGAGCTCGCTCTTCTCTTATCTTTTCTTTTCTCTTCTCTTCTCAGTTCAGACCACAGGTTTTGGACAGGATTTTGGTCTAAAAATTGAACAATAACCAACCAAATATCCCTTTTAAGTTTCGACAGATCTTTGACTAAATTGTACAGATAGAGACTCCATGATATGACACACTTCAATGGGGGTTACTGGAACTTTAGGAGAAAAAAAAGCACTGTTCAGGTAAACTGGATTACTTTCAGATGTTGTGAAGTGTGGACATAATGTGGTCAGACACTAATATTCATGTCTTTCTTTCTAACAAGCTTGCAATATTTGCAGAAAGGAGGAAAAATGAACACACCCCCTCCTGACAGGGTTTACACGTTTTCTTGTGCAACTAGACACTGTTGGAGAGGCCAGATTCAACGAGCATAAATTCTTGTTAAGCTTGAATCGAGCTTCATCTGCCCGTGAGGTCCTTTTTAGCTTCCATGTCCCTCTATGTGGCATCCATTTGTTACCACACGGACAGATCCACATGGGAAAACATTCAATTCAATTCAGTAATACTTATTAATCCAAAAGGGATATTCAGTTTCAGTGCAGCCCTTCGAAGAAGACAAAAACACAGACATAACAGACGTAGGGGTGGGGGGTGTGCTGCCCATACATTTGGGAAAAAGCAAAAAACAAGAGATCACAATGGGTAATGGGAGGGAAAAAAATCATATTTTACACTTTATTTTTAGCAGGATACAGTTTGAAATTGCAGAAAACCTCAGCACAGAAGCAAAACGGCAACATTGCAAGCAAGCAATGGCTCCTACCGGCGAGGGTTCGCAATGTAAACATCCAGAGACATGTTGATATTTAGCTTATAATATCAAAAACTTTTGCAAAGAAATGACTGTCCCTCTTGGGTGGCACAATGTGGCTTTGATTCGTTGTAAACAGCTGTGTTTTTCTACTTCCTGTGTTGAGTGGTGTTTTAAGCTTGCCGTTTTTGCTGAACACACCTCCCTGGAGTCGTCCAGAAGGAGAGAAAAGCAGTTTAAAGTATAAAAGCTGCACCTATTGGCAACTCTACATGTTGCCAATGTTGATTGTAGAAACAAAAATTATTATTCTGTTGACGTCTAAAGGTTGTTTTGGAGAATTGGCGACGTTCCTATCTTGCAACATGCTGATACCCTTTCAACCTTCTATGCATCCTGCTTTGGGTGATGGAAATATCGTCAAAAGCCATTGGCTAAAAGAAATGGCAGGCCTTAACTTTCAAACCGCTGGCATTACCATTGGTTTGCATACTTCTTAGTGAAAATAACCCAATTAGTTATTTTGAGGCTACAGAAACCTTACTCTATTATAAAAGCTGTGCACTGATTCATTTAACTGAATCAAAACTTCCTTTAGATTTGTGCCAATAAAAGATAAAATGAAATATTTAATTAAATGTTAGGGGGGTAGTACTCCCTTCTGTTAGATACTGCAGGTGAGCCAAATTTGCGCCATGATTTTCAAGATTATTGGAGGATTTACTCCTGCCAAATTTAATTGCATTGAGAAGTATTAAGCAAAAGCTGTGAATGCTTATGTAGGCTTTGTGTGATTTCTAGTTTTTTTTTTCTCCCAGTAAATCTGCAGAAATCTCTCATTACTTTTCATTGTGTTTTTTGCAGTCATTGGAGGGAGAAAATGAATTTAATTAATCTTGAAATAAGGACGTAAAATCACATTTATGGACAAAGTGAGGCTCTATGAATAATTTGTGGAAGCACTGTCTTCAGAGTTATGCAGAATATATCCTGGGGTAAATAAAAGGATCAGGGAGGTAAGTCTCACATCAATCCTGAGCTATAGACCCCAACATATTGATGTATACACCTTTATAATGAACTATGACTCATCAACATATATATTGAAACCAAATGAGAGTTGGTTAGAAAGGATGTAAAGTGATTTATTACCTGGTCTAACATATAATCAATGAGAATTTCTAATATACCATAAAGTAAATAAGAGCTTGCACTCCTGTCTTTTACAACCATTCTAAATAATTCAGTAATATTGGCAGTGTTCCCTGATACCACTGACCTGCACTTGAACCTAAACATTGGGAAGAATAAGTTGTTTTATTTTCCCTGGTTTGTTCAGGCTCCATTAGGCAGTGGAATATTGCTTTTGCCATCTTTGCTAACGCTGAATCTTTTGGGCACACGAGGAGCTACACCACCGCTGAACCTTTGGTTCCCTATTAACTCAACACCTCTAGGGCACAAGCTCCTCTCATTCAACCTTACTGGTGTTTAGACACTCAACATGTATGACAGAAAGCACAAACCTCTGTCTAATGGAATCTGTATATCTTGAAATGCATTAAATGTACTAAACATGACCCTGTTTGTTGAGACAATCTCAGCCAGTAGAGGTTTGGTGGAAACAGGCTGCTGCCTTGCTCCAGTGAGGATGTAAACTAAATATAGAAAATCAGGTCAAAGACAAAAAGTGTGTTTCTGGGGCCCAATCCTAGAACAATGTCTCACAAATTAGTAGTGTTGCACCGATACCGATACCAGTATCGGGCGGGGCCCCAATCCAGCACTAAAACTGTGGAATCAGTCTCGGTGAGTACCAACAAATAGGGCACCGATACCATTTTGAGGGCCAAAAGTTTATTCAACAATTGTCACCCATTCCAGGCAGCAGCTTGACAAAGCCATGATGGCAAATATTTTATATCCAAGTAATATGCAGTTCTTCATATATATATACACACACACTCCGACCTGCACTGTCGGTCACTTTACACCTGTTTTGCACTACCCCCCCCCCCCCCACAATCTGTGACAGTACTGTTTACATTTCCTTTTAATATATTTATATATTTTTTAACTGTTTACATTTCCTTTTCCTTTTAATATATTTTTATTTTTTATTTATTTCACGGTAGCTGATATGGAAGTCCCAAATCTCATTGTATCCGTTGCAGAATATAATGACAATAAAGGCTTTTTGACTTTTGACTTTTTGACTTTGACACATCAATTTCAAACAGATGGTATTGGCCAATAATGCATAACCAGGTATCAGTGCCAAAAAATGGCATTGGCGCAACACAAAAAAATTATACTGGTTCTGCTTGAAGTACAAAGGGATTTTCATACCGGTTTTGCTACCAGATCTGCTCGGGGCCCTGCCTTTTCTTATTACGTCATATACGGCAACGCCACTCGTACAAACCATATAGCACATGTTTCTTAAGACTTAGATCTCTTCTGGAGTCTCAACATAATATTACCCATATTTGCTTTTTTTTTTACGTTTCATCCGCGATCTAAAGTAGCCAAAAGTAGAAAACCATACTTCTCAGTCTTGAAGGTAAGCAGTGCCTTCTTAGACAGACTAAGCTTTGCCATTTAACAAGTTGACAAAACAGTCTCAGCTTATTTTTATTATTTTTTATTAAGATCTAAGGGGAAGGGGAGGACAAATGGAACATTTTAAAATGACTTTTGTGGAGATGTTAGACAAAGAAAACCAGTTATCCTACTTGTAGAAAACAAATGGTTGTGACACTAAGTTAAAAGTTCTATAGCTTAATATTGCTAACTGGCTGAGCTAAAAGAACCTATTAGCTACTGAGCACATCTAGCCACAGTGCTACCCAGCTCTCTCCCCTGTTACATCATGGTCTTGCAGTCACTTTATTCACCATCAACAATTTTCTTTTTTTCAGTTGATTTTTATCCATATCAGGTAAAATGTCATTGGTCATTAAACGCGCTAACCCTACAGATGATCCAGACTCGGCACACAGAGGGTGCATTATGTTATTATTGTTGTCTGGGCAGCCACAATGTTTTATGTCATGTTGCAACATTCAGCCAATCATATAGTGCAACATCACTGGCATGCGTAGAGCTCGAGCAGATCTGGTACATACACCGGGCCCCAATCAGTTATCATGGTCAGGGCATAAAGAGGAAGGGTAATTTTCTCAAGTATAAGTTCATTTTCTATGAATAAAGATTCTCACATTAATGCAGGCCTTTCAGAGTCTATTTAAAGGGGCCATAGAATGCAAAACGGAGTTTACATTGCA